GCAAGTTGCACATGAAATCTCTAAAAATAGTGCAAGGACATTTTTTCAAAATTGGTTCTGCACTGTAAAGTTGGAGTTACACCAATTTGAATGGTTCTTTAGGCACAAATAGGGTACGACTTGTCATGCGATTTGGAACTGTCAAGTGGCTAAACCGTTATTTTAGATCTTTATTTGTATACTGACTGGGTAATTCATAAGATTTTGGAGAACCGTCCACATTTTGCCATACCTTTAATTTTTTTTAAATACCCTGGAGCAAGGATAGGCAACCTTTTTTTTTAAAGAAAAGAACTAGCAAGGCCAACTAAATAGTAAGGAAAACTTACAAAAATATAATGCAACAAATTTCACTGTAAAAATCTAACTTAGCCTACCTAAAAGTGGACAGTGTCTGTCATTAGAGCAGTGGACAGCATCTGGACAGTGTCAGTAGGGCAGTGGACAGTGTGTGGATCTTGTTAGTAGAGCAGTGGATGGTGTATGGACAGTGTCAGTAGGGAAGTGAATGATATGTGGATATTGTTAGTAGGGCAGTCAATAGGGTAGTGGACAGTGTGTGGACCGTGCCAGTAGGGCAGCGGATGGTGTCAGGAAAGCAGTGGATGTGTCAGTAGAGCAGTGGATGGTGTCAGTCAGCAGAGCAGTGGACGTTGTCAGTAGGGCAGGTACGATGGAGTTAGTAGAGTGTGGATGGTGTCATTAGGGCAGTGGATGGTGTCAGTAGTTTTTTATTATTATTATTTTATTTATTTTTTACCATTCTATTAATTCTTTTTTACAAATTTACTTTTTATTATTTTCTTTACAATTTTTTTAGGAGCTCCATTGGGAGGCTTTGGTGAGATATCAGGAGTCTAAACAGACCTCTGATGTTTCATTTTTGAGACAGAAAAGGGAAATTGAGGACATAGCACTCAATCTCCATCTCTGCAGCCTCAGCTGCACAGGATGAATGAACAAGAATAGCTCTGTACAGGGCTTCCCATTCATTCACAGACCACATTCATAGTAAATAAATTCATAGTAAATAAAGTTTACAATGCTTCACTTATGAATGGACACAGGAGCAATCGGTACCAATCACTGACTGTGTTAATTCAGAAAAGGAAGAGACCAGTAAATTACATATTTACCGGCCCCTTCCCCACTCTCCATTCTGAAACATCCCCCACAGCAGCCGGAGGAAGAGAAGGAGGGGAAGACGATAAACAGTAGGCATAATCTGAACAGTGAGCAAAACACTACAACAGTGATAAACAGACAGAACTGACTCACTTAATCAATGTGTGCTCGGCAACTGACAAGGGTTTGAAGGGAAGTAGAAAGGGGCAGTGACTAAGCACAGAGAGAAGCTTGGAGGCATGTGGTATGTTCCATTGCCCAACAACCAGGAAGTAAGCCTGCAGGGGAGGAAAGGTGCCACTTCCCAGACACAAGCTGACACGAAACACAAGCTGGCACTGGGAGGAGAGACAGTGGACTTGCAGAGAGCCAAAAATGTTGGTGGCCATTAATGTAAAGTTAAGTGTCTGAGCCTCCTTACATCAGGGACTTCCAGACCCTTAGAGGCTTGTTTCTCTAAATGGAACTTTTTCTTATAGAACATTCAGGGTGAACTGCGAAGGCTGGGATTCTCCTGCAAGACCACTTTTCCAATGGTTTAGGAACTGAAGTGAGTTCCTGACCCTTCTGGAGCCCTGGATGTTTTGTACCTCATACTCTTTCTGCCCATTGACTAGTAGAGAAGATCTATAAGCCTTGGTACTCTGAGGATACACAGTTTTTAGCGAAGAGACATGAAACATATTGTGGCTTTTTCAGAGAGCAAGACAGCTCAAAGGTAATAAAAAACACATGGTTATTTTTATGAATAATCCAGTATGAATCAATGAACCTGGGTGTGATTTTTAGTGAATTCATGAGTTGGGTCAAGGTGATCATCAGCAAAGATTTTCTGCAAGGATGCTGCAGATGTTAGATTGCTGTAGACAGCATTCCAAACTTGGGCAAAGTTTTGGATGAGCAAGGTAGTACAAAGCACATTGGGCAACAAATTGGAGAATGAGCAGAGGGTTTTTTAAACTGCCAAATGAAGAAATAATGTATTTGGGAAAGGTGATTCATGATTGTTGAAAAAACACTTAGAGTACAGAGTTTAGCATAGATTGAATGTTTCTGGAGTTTGGATGAACCAATGTAAACCTGTCTGACATGTTTGCAAAGATAGGAGGAGAACATGAAAATGTTATGCAGTTAAACCACTTAAAGTTTGCCAAAATATTGCTGGAAAATATGTCTGATGATGGTAACATTTCAGAGGCCAAAGCATTATCAAAAACTCGCATTGGCTCTCATAAGTAATGAAATCTGTTTTCCACTCATCACCCAGGAGAATGAATAAGATTGCAGGCTCCCCCCAAGTCTAACTTGGAGAAAACCCAAGCCCCTTGATTTCAGTTAAACAGTCCTGTGATTTAACAAAAAGGAATCCTGCACCTGCAGAGGATGTTAATGGGTGTATAAAACCATTCCTAAGATTCTCCTCTATAAAAATCCAATATTAACAGGTTGTCAGAATTGGATAGAGGAAAGGCATGACCTGGATGGAGTAGCACCTGATAAAAAAAAACCCAAGGGAAAATATCTATTAGGAGGTAGGACAGATGTGGCTTTCTCACTGAAGACATATACATTTTCTGAATAAAAAACAGGAAGGGAAGTGGTACTGAAGATGGCAACATAGACATACTGCTGTAGACAGGACTTAAAGCATGATTAGGACCACAACTGAATTTAACCATGAGACCGGTCAATTTGAGGATGTAAAGTTAGGGTAGGGATCAATAGGTAGACTTGCAAGATATAATGTAAAAGAAAATCTTCTACTAATACAAAGCCCAATTCTTAGGGTGAAGCCTTGAGTATGTTGGGTTACTGGTCCAGGTGAAAATGGGAAGTTGTCAAAAGCAACTAAAGAGAATGAAGATTCCACCAGGATATGCAGGATCTGCATTCTGGGCATTCAGTCTGCTTTCCACACATTCCTCCCTGGGTACATACTGCCTTAACCATTAGTACACTTGGTACTTTAACTCTTTTCGACTGCTTGCAGCTTCTCATGGAGCTTAACAGGTTGCTGGCAGTGGGACTAGATGGTGCGCCTGTTCATTCTGCCCACACCTAAACACCAGGATCTCATGCACTCAGATTAAACTCCCAGTGTGCATGAGGCTTATGCTGTTGTCATATCATCCATCATGTGTTAAATGTTTATTTGTAAAACAAAACTTGTATACAGTACATACAGTAAACAGTTAAAAACTTTAAAACTGACCCTAAACTATTTGTGTTTCCCTTTAAATGTAATTAAACTCTGAATGGTGATACCTGCAAAGTTCTTTGAGGTATCTGCTGAGGAAAGCAGGAATAGGAACCATTTGATGGGGATAATGTAAGAATTCTTGAGATAAAAGATTGGGGCTTTCTATTGTTAAATATCCATTTCATGTTAGAAAAATACCAGCTCCATGAGATATTTGTGAATTGAACATTTTTGCGGGAAAATAATCTTCAGCAAAAATAAGGAATGCAGTTAAAATAACTCATGTATGTTTGTGAACTGACCCTGAATGCAAAAGATGCCCAAGAAGGCTCACAGCTAACCTAACATGCTGGAGAAGCACTAGAGGGCACTAGTTCACCAGTACATATACAATATGCTAGTTAGTATAAAGGCCTATTCAAAACTGCAGATGGATTACTTTAACCCCATATATGATGGGCATACACTACTGTGCAAACGTTTTAGGTAGGTATGAAGAATGCTGTAAAGAAAGAATGCTTTCAAAATATATATTGTAATGATTTATTTTTATCAAATAACAGAATGGAAAGTAAAAGAACAGAAGAGAAATTCAAATCAATATTTGGTGTGACCACCCTTTTTCTTCAAAACAGCATAAATTCTAAGTATACATGCACACAGTTTTTGAATGAACTCAACAGTAGGTTGTTCTAAACATCTTGGAGAACTAACCACACATCTGTGGATGTAGGCTGCCTCAAATCCTCCTGTCTCTTCATGTAATCCCAGAGAGACTTAAAGCGGAGCTCCACCCAAAAGGGGAAGTTCCACTTTAAGGACTGTTCCCCCGCTCCCCATTAAGGATTGGCACCTTTGGGGAGCACTTAACCAAATTTGACAGGTACCCGCTCCCACTTCCGGTCCGATTGCCTAGGCGATTGGAAGCAGGTGTCCTCTCTCCCTCCCTCCTTGTAGTCTTTTGGGACACGTGACAGGTCCCAGAAGACTACAGGACCATTCATGAAGCGCAGCGCTACTCATGCATGCGCAGTGGGTACCCGGCTGTGAAGCCGCAAGCTATCACAGCCGGGTGCCCACACTGAAGATGCCGGCCTCCTGGAATACAGGTCGGCCAGTGAAACGAGCTGCGGGGGACACACCACGGGACCGAGGGACAGGTAAGTGGCTGTTTTTTAAAAGTCAGCAGCTACAGTTTTTGTAGCTGCTGACTTTTATTTTTTGATAGGTTGAGTGGAACTCTGCTTTATTGATGTTAACATCAGGGCTCTATGAAGCCCAAACTATCACTACCAGGACTCCTTGCTCTTCTTTATGCCGAAGATAGTTTTTAATGACATTGGGTGAATGTTTGGGGCCGTTGTCCTGCTTCAGAATAAATTTGGGGCCAATCACACGTCTTATCACACATCTCCCTGATGGTATGGCATGATGGATGAGTATCTGCCTTTATCTCCATGGATTGAGGACACCATTGATTGGGCAAAGTTGGGGACCATAGTCACAGTGATTGGCTAAGGAAACCTAATGCAGCAAATGAAAGACACATCGTGCTTACTTCCCTTGAACATTAGAAAATGTCCAGCAGTGCCTTCAGCACATAACTGGTAGAAACCAGTAAGACCCAGGTACACCCATCTACTGTGCAGAGAACTCTGTCCAGAAGTGGTCTTCATGGAAGAATTGCAGCCAAAAAGCCAAACCTCTGACGTAGAAACAAGGCTAAACTGCTCAACTATACACATGAACATAGAAACTGGGGTGCAGAAAAAGGAAATCATGGGGCCCCTGTGTCTTTGCCCACCCTCAAACCACACCCAAAAAAGCCTATAAAAGGTACTGGGGCTTCTCATGGGCCCCCCCTACTGACCCTGGGCCCTCGGGCAGTGCCTGAGTGCCTAAATGGTCATTCCGCCCCTGATGCCATACCATCAGGGAGGTGCGTGATTGGACCAGAATTTATTCTTCAGCAGGGACAACGACTCCAAACATGCAGCCAAGGTCATTAAGAACTATCTTCAGTGTAAATAAGAACAAGGAGTCCTGGAAGTGATGGTTTGGCCCCTGCAGAGCCCTGATCTCAACATGATGGAGTTTGTCTGGGATTACATGAAGAGTCAGAAGGATCTGAGGCAGCCTACATACACAGAAGATCTGTAGTTTGTTCTCCAAGAGGTTTGGAACAAGCTACCTACCGAGTTCCTTTAAAAACTGTGTGCAAGTGTAGCTAGGAGATTTGATGCTGTTTTGAAGGTAAAGGGTAAAGTGTGAAGGGTGGTTGCACCAAATATTGATTTGATTTGAATTGCTCTGCTGCTCATGTACTTTCCATTCTGTTAATCAAGAAAATAAACAATTACAATATATACTTTTGAAAGCATTCCTACTTTACAGCATTTCTTCACACCTGCCTAAAACTTTTGCACATATACAGGTGAAACTCGAAAAATTTGAATATTGTGCAAAAGTACATTTATTTCAGTAATGAAACTTTAAAAGGTGAAACTAATATATGAGATAGACTCATTACATGCAAAGCAAGATAGTTCAAACCGTGATTTGTCATAATTGTAATGATTATGGCTTACCAGCTCATGAAAACCCCAAATCCACAATCTCAGAAAATTAGAATATTGTGAAAAGGTGCAATATTCTCAGCTCAAAGTGTCCCACTCTAATCAGCTAATTAAGCCATAACACCTGCAAAGGGTTCCTGAGCCTTTAAATGGTCTCTCAGTCTGGTTCAGTAGGAATCACAATCATGGGAAAGACTGATGACCTGACAGTTGTGCAGAAAACCATCATTGACATCCTCATAAGGAGGAAAAGCCTCAAAAGGTAATTGCAAAAGAAGTTAGATTTTCCCAAAGTGCTGTATCAAAGCACATTAATAGAAAGTTATGTGGAAGGGAAAAGTGTGGAAGAAAAAGGTGCACAAGCAGCAGAGATGACCGCAGCCTGGAGAGGATTGTCAGGAAAAGGCAATTCAAAAGTATTGGGGACTTTCACAAGGAGTGGACGGAGGCTGGAGTCAGTGCATGAAGAGCCACCATCACACAGACGGATCCTGGACATGGGCTTCAAATGTCGTATTCCTCTTGTCAAGCCGCTCCTGAACAACAAACAACGTTAGAAAGCGTCTTACCTGGGCTAAAGAAAAAACAGATCTGGGTCTGTTGCTCAGTGGTCCAAAGTCCTCTTTTCTGATGAGAGAAACTTTTGCATCTCATTTGGAAAACCAAGGACCCAGAGTATGGAGGAGGAATGGAAAAAGCACACACTGCAAGATGCTTGAAGTTCAGTGAGAAGTTTCCACAGTCTGGGTTGATTCGGGGAGCCATGTCATCCGCTGGTCTTGGTCCACTGTGTTTCATTAAGTCCAGGGTTAACGCAGCCGTCTACCAGGAGATTTTGGAGCACTTCATGCTTTCTTCCGCAAACGAGCTTCATGGGGATGCTGACTTCATTTTCCAGCAGGACTTGGCACCTGTCCACACTGCCAAAAGCACAAAAACCTGGTTCAATGACCGTGGGATTACTGTGCTTGATTGGCCAGCAAACTCGCCAGACCTGAACCCATAGAGAATCTATGGGGCATTGCCAAGAGAAAGATGAGAGACATGAGACCAAACAATGCTAAAGCAGCTGAAGGCCGCTATTGAAGCATCCTGGTCTTCCATAACACCTCAGCAGTGCCACAGGCTGATAGCTTCCATGCCACGCCGCATTGAGGCAGTAATTGCTGCAAAAGGGGCCCCAAACCAAGTACTGAGTACATATGCATGCTTATACTTTTCAGAGGTACGATATTGTTCTATGTACAATCCTTGTTTTATTGATTGCATGTAATATTCTAATTTTCTGAGATTGTGGATTTGGGGTTTTCATGAGCTGTAAGCCATAATCATCACAATTATGACAAATCACGGCTTGAACTATCTTGCTTTGCATGTAATGAGTCTATCTCATATATTAGTTTCACCGTTTAAGTTGCATTACTGAAATAAATGAACTTTTGCACGATATTCTAATTTTTCGAGTTTTACCTGTATGTATATATATATATATATATATATATCACACACTATATTGCCAAAATTATTAAGATGCCTGCCTTTACACACACATGAACTTTAATGGCATCCCAGTCTTAGCCTGTAGGGTTCAATAGTGAGTTGGCCCACCCTTTGCAGCTATGACAGCTTCAACTCTTCTTGGAAGGCTGTCCACAAGGTTTAGGAGTGTGTCTATGGGAATGTTTCACCATTCTTCCAGAAGTGCATTTGTGAGGTCAGGCACTGATGTCAGACGAGAAGGCCTGGCTCTCAGTCTCCGCTCTAATTCATCCCAAAAGTGTTCTGTCAGGTTGAGGCAGGCCAGTCAAGTTCCTCCACCCCAAACTCACTCATCCATGTCTTTATGGACCTTGCTTTGTGCACTGGTAGTCATGTTGGAACAGGAAGGGGCCATCCCCAAACTGTTCCCACAAAGCTGGGAGCATGAAATTGTCCAAAATGTCTTGGTATGCTGACCCCTTAAGAGTTCCCTTCACGGGAACTCAGGGGCCAAGCCCAACTCCTGAAAAACAACCCCACACCATAATCCCCCCTCCACCAAACTTTACACTTGGCACAAAGCAGTCAGGCAAATACCATTCTCCTGGCAAACACCAAACCCAGACAGAGAAGTGTGATTCATTACTACTGAGAACACATCTCTATTGCTCTAGAGTCCAGTGTGGCAGCATGCTTTACACCACTGCATCCAACACTTTGCATTGCACTTGGTGATGTAAGGCTTGGATGCAGCTGCTCGGCCTTGGAAACCCATTCCATGAAGCTCTCTACGCACAGTTGTTGTGCTAATCTGAAGGTCACAGGATTTTTTGAGATCTTTAGCTCTGCAGATGGTGATGTCTGCGCACTGTGCGCTCCAACATACGCTGACACTGCTCCGTTATTTTAAGGGCCTACCACTTTGTGGCTGAGTTGCTGTTGTTCCCAGTTGCTTCCACTTTGTTATAATACCACTAACAGTTGACCGTGGAATATTTAGCAGCAAGGAAATTTCACGGATGGACTTATTGCACAGGTGGCAACCTATCACGGTACCACTCTTCAATGCAATGAGCTATGAGAGCAACCCATTCTTTCACAAATGTTTGTAGAAGCAGTCAGCATGCTTAGGTGCTTGATTTTTATACACATGTGGCCATGGAGGTGATTGGAACACCTGAATTTAAGGATTTGGAGGGTGTCCCAATACTTTTGGCAGTATACTGTATATATGTGTGTTTTGAATGAATTGTGCTAAAATAGAAACAGATAGGAATTGTAAGGGGATACAGCCACTAGGGGGAGACAAGCCCCACCAGACAAAATCTTAGTGGCTATACAGCTATTAGTATACAATGCACAAAATGTATTTGTAACCAACATAACATCCTGCTGTGGATACAAAAGAGGTTAGTGGGCATAAAGTACAAGTTGCAACTGTTTTCTTTTTTATTGCTTGTAATCAGGGAACAAAGGAGCTTAACATTTAAAGGACTTAAAACAATTTTTGAAATCATATTAACATGTGAAGGCTTATATAAGATGTGTTTTGGATTGGTTTAATTGGGTTTGGAAGTACTTAAAATATATGTAGAAATCCAATGTTTTTTCACTTTGGAGAGAGTAGGAAATGGTTTCAACCTGTCAGACTTTTTTGCCATCTATTTACTATAAGGAAGATTTCATTTAAAGTGTATGTAACTCTAAAATACCCTTATGTAGCGCTACCCTTTCAAGGGCCACTGAGTTTTTGGGTTCTCATAAGCTCTGCACAGCTAGGCAACATGCATTTCCAGTACTCAGTAAAACAGTTCTTGAGTTTGTTTTTTTTTTTTTTTTATTAGGGGGTAACAACTTGGATGGGGTCTAGGGGTATATGGAATGCCCAAAGAACCGTACAAATTCCAAGATCTAAAGTGAAGTAGTCCCAGTGAGAACTAGTTGGGTATTACACTTAACCCGCCCTCTCCCTTCTTTGGCCAAGGGGGTGTTGGAGTACTCACACTGTCCTTTTCCTGTAGCTTAATGGGTTGCAGCTGCTTTCAGGCCTTACGCTGGGCTGGCTCCTTCCCTACTGACAGGCTGTCTTTCCTAGTAGACTGTAGGGTAGTGTAGATCCTTCTGTCCAGCTCCAGCCTATAGATAGACCCCTCCACTGGGGCCCCCTCCAGGCTCTGCGCACCAGCACCTTCCTGCACTCCATCTTCCATCTGACTCCAACAACTCCTCAGCTGCTCAGGCTCTCCCATATTTAAGACCAGTGCCAGAGCTTTCTAGAAGAGTGGGAGGGCTCCAGAAGCGCTGACCTGTAGCACCTCCCAGCTTGATTTGAGGTAACCACACTGCCTCAATCCCAGGCTGACTCATCCCAGGCTTCCAGCAAGCCACTAACAAAAAAAAATAAATCATGCCTAAACTAGAGGGCGCTACATCGATTATAATTATTATGATTTTCCACAATCCCAGTAAACATTTACGTTGCAGTCTTTTTATTTTCTCTAACTGCTAATATAGATTAAACATCTGCTGATTCTGCCACTGTTTTTGTCATTATCTTGTTTTTTGTGTTGTTCTGACCATACTAATCATGACTGCAAACATGTGGTAGCATGGTCAGATTGCATGCTTTGTTTACTTTATCAGGAACCACAGGATGCCATACCTACACACAATGTGCCTGAAGGTCCATTGTTCATGTATGATATCACAGGCTGGAATGCCCTCTGTTCTGTCCTGCTTGGAATTGCTGTCAGCAGCTCCTGTTGGATGTCACACTGTCAGTACATGCTTGGACATAGTATTTTATGTAGAGACCAATCCTTTGCTGAGCGTGAGTGACCTTACCTGTAACACTCTACCTTCAGCAGCTGGAAATTGTGAGTCACTCTCTGTATAAGGTCTCCTCTCTACAGTGGCATGACTCCATTTCAGGTAGGGTTGAAAAAACTAAGCAGTACTGGCATCACACGGGAGGCTTTAAAAAGCAATACCTCCCCAGACACAATTCTGTGCTGCAGCAAAATAGCTTCAAATATAATCCCTAGAACCACGCATACATAGCAGCACTTATAAACTATGGAAAAACGGAGATTGGGCGAAGAAGTTTGTTTGGAGAAGAATTGTTTGCTAAAACATACTTAAGATATTAATAAACATTTATTATTTTGCAGCATAAATCCCCCCAAAAAATAAAAATTGATTTTCTGTCAATGAATGAGTTCATTACAATAATTAAATGGCGCCACTAATGGACTCAACCATCATCAAGTGAAGACAATGGATGATTTCTGACAGACATCTTTACAAATTCCATTTATTAATTTTTCCTAAAATGAAAAGAAAACACATAAATAGACCCAGTTAAAATTCTAACCCTCATGCCCCCAGATTAAGTGAGTATATGAGTATATAAATATATATGTTTCTGTGCAGTACTTACAGTCAAATACAGTTATGTAAACATTTAGCCAGAATACCAGCTTCCATATTAATGAATAGAATGATGCAAGGGGCAATAGAAACAGCTGCAAGGCAGAGGAGACAGCAAATGGAACACGAATGTCCCACTCGGTCCAATCTCCCCCTGCATGCATGCAATGGATGGTATATAGACTCTGTGTGGGGGTCACAGTATAGGTGGACAATTGTATATCCCGAAGAAGGCCTGTGGATTAGAAGTTTTAGACTATTTAGAAGATTTAAACAATCATGGCCAGATTGATAATCACGTGTGGAACAGTCCATTGTAAAACAGATATATGAATCAAGGTCTGAGTGTGCGCAAAATAGAGATCACTGTAGGCATTTCACAACTCTGAAGGAACATTTCCTTTAAAGCCCCTGCCACACTTCCATGCATTCCTCCAATTCACCAGGATTGCAAGAAAGTGTGGCTAAAGCTTTAAAGGAAATGTTCCTTCATAGTTGTGAAATGTCTACAATGATCTTTTGCAGCACTCAGACCTTTATCCATATCACTTTCTGCTTAGTACTCAGTGCCATCTGTCTTTCTTAGCAGCAATAAGCTGAGGTATTGCAGTTGCATGATTCCAGACCAGGGGTGGACTGACCATTTGGGCTCTCGGGAACTGCCCGAGGGCCCAGGGTCATTAGGGGCCCCATGAGATGCCCCTGGTACCTTTTATAGGCTTTTTTGGGTGTGGTTTGAGTGTGGGCGAGGATACAGGGGCCCTGTGATCCTCTATTGCCCGGGGGCCCCCATGAGTTGTCAGTCCGCCCCTGTTCCAGACAAAACGTTTCTGCAAAGGTATTTAGCGCTAGTTTATGACAATGAATGTGGTGTTTTTATGTACATACAATTCTACTGATATAATCTTCTACCTGGTTTTGGTATTAGTTTTGTACAGATGCTTTCAGTATAACTATAGGCAAAACTTAATTTCGGATAAAGTGGAGAGCCCCTGTTTCACCCTATTTGCCCTGTTTACCATTAGCACCTACAGTAAAAGTAAAAGAAAACCCCATGTTTTGGGTTGTCACCAGAACAGGAATAAAGGAGAAATGTTACAATTGGGATATTAGTTCTGGAGACCCTGATGACAACCAGAGATTCCCTCACTCTTGAGGGACTTTCTGTCATTTACTGTTTTGGTTTAAACAGCAAGTAAAGGGAAATCTCCCCAGTGGGACAAAGATGGCAAAAATAAATAATCTGAGGGATTTTAAACCACCCTTACTCTATCCAAAATGAAAAACAGTTGTGCATTTAGTTCCCCTTTATGAGGATGTATCTCCAATGTGAGTACAATACCCTCTTAGCTGTTACCAGAACGAGACGATTTCCCCTCTATTCCAGTTTTGTTCACAGCTCACAATTGTGGATTTTCACCAGGGCAAACAGGGTGAATCTTACTGAAAAAAAAACAAAAAAAAAAAAACAGAAGGTGTTCTAACCAGGGAAGGACTGACAACTCATGGGGCCCCCGGGCAATAGGGGATCATGGGGCCCCTGTGTCCTTGCCCAATCTCAAAAAAGCCTATGAAAAAGGTACCAGGGGCATCTCATGGGGCCCCCTACTGACCCCGGGTTCTCGGGCAGTGCCTGAGTTTCCAAATTGTCAGTCCGCCCCTGGTTCTAACCTATCACTACTTCATCCAAAGGTATAATTTTGGCTTCAGTTGCACGTTACATTTGCTAGGATACTTGTAAATAGGATCAACTGAAGTAGTTTGCACAGAAATTATTTTTTCTGGCTAACCTGTATTTGTATGTACTTGCAGACAACACATTGAACAATTGATGTGGTACTCAAGGGCAAATCTTTTTTTCTTTGCATAATGAGAAAGGGGTTATAATCTCAAACTGGTATTCCTACATGTACAGTATATCTGCTGGATGTGAAGTGAAGGGAAATCTCTCCACCTGACATTTTGTAGTTTCTTGCTTTAAAGCAAGACCTCTCATTTGTAGGTGCAGGCACTGTGGAGCTTTTAATCCTCAAAATTCATAACAAATGCAGGTGAAGTCTAGTGCTTGTAAAAAATATTAAACTTTTTAAATGTCCATAGCATTACAAGAATTCTACTTTAAATTTCAGTTTTTAACAAAGAACCTAGCATACATGCAAGATAGAGATCCTGTAATTTATGTGTTTCCATTTTGTAATAATTTACTTTTATATAGGGTTTCTTGTTCTGTTGTCCCTCGCTATGCATAATTAGACAAATAAGTTACAGTGCATTGTAAGTCTTTATTACAGAACACATAAAAGAACACGTGCTGTGCAGTAGCTGTTTTTATTACAAAAAAACATTCACCAATGTGAGAATACACCAGCCAAATGTGTTTAATTGTAAGTAAATGTATTCCTTTTACATTGCTTAACAGAGATCTATACTATATATATATATATATACACACACTGTATATTATATATATTATGGGCGGCACAGTGGCTTAGTGGTTAGCACATCTGCCTTGCAGTAAATGGGTCATGGGTTCAATTCCCAACCATGGTGCCTCCTGCATGGAGTTTGCATGTTCTCCCTGTGCTTGTGTGGGTTTCCTCCAGGTGCTCCAGTTTTCTCCCCACACTCCAAAGACATGCCGATAGGTTAATTGGCTCTTGTCTAAATTGTCCTAGTTTCATCCCTGGTCCATGCGGGATCTCCTGCATGGTAGGGGTTGGGGAAAGACCTGGCAACCTACCCTGTAAAAAATAATTGCTAAGAGAATTCATGGAAAAAGTCGCTTACGAGTGACGGTCCATGCAATCGCCAAGCGTCAGATACGACTGAATGATTGATAGATAGATATTTATATGATATGTCTGTTTGTCTGTTTTAAATTAGCCATTCACAATGATAGTATGTAGGGTACCAGACATGCATAAAAGTAAGGCAGGGTATAAGAATACAAAATCTGTTGATAATTAATCAATCCGTAAACAAAAAGCAAGTGTCAAAGTGGTAACATTGCTCTTTTTCAATTTCCTAAAACAAATAAATATTTTCCCTTTGGATGAGAGCATTAAAGAATACATGTGTTTTATAGTAAGTGTTTTTAATTGTAAAAAAATTATTATTTAGTGTGAAAATTCATCAAATAATTGTATTTAGTTACAAGTAAACTTTTATTATTGTACTGCTGCCACCAAATTAAGGCCATATTAAAATGGATGAAAATGCATCCATTGTTTTATTTTAGGTACAATTAATGATGTAACTTTGAACTGATGTTCTCTTTGGATAAACATGTTGAAAAAGCCTTCATTGCCATCTCATTGTGGCCATGTGTTTTGGCACATCATTAAAACATAGGCCCATGAGACTTTGAAAGAAAATAGAATATGTTCTTTTTGTACATAAACAGTATTTTACCATAACCATATCCTAATAAACGTATCTAATTTAGTTTGCCTCCATAAGTATAAGAAAATAACTATAAGCAGTGTAATATACATTATACAGTCAAAGCATTTGTGGCATGCCAGTATTCGAAACAACAGCAGTAACCTAATAGGCATAATGGTCTAATGCCTGCAAGACATCAGCTAAAGGAAAATATTACTACTAAAATGGTCAATATTCACAATAGAGTGAATTGGGAAACTACAGCTTTATTGACCACTAGACAGAGCTGAAGATCACAGAAAATATTTATTTCCTATGATCATTAAATCAGTACCTGATTCATGCCATTCTGCATGAATTAAAAGCATTCAAACCTGGAGAAATAATAACCTATAATATAAACCTAATAACCTTCCTTTTAAACTCCCATTCATACAGAATTAATGTACACGCCACTTAACAGGATGAATACAGTAGGTCTCACATTACAGCCCCCTGGCAATCAAAGACCCCCTTATATCACAGCTCCCCCCTTCTCACATCACTGCCCCCCATATCACAGCCCCCCCTTCATATTACAGCCATCTTTATCACAAAGGCAAGTCAGAGTAGTGATTAAAGGAAAATGGGGGATCTCAACTCTCAGTGGGGTAGTTCTTGGGAAGGGTGGGTTTGTTAAGACTAATGAGTCCAGACTGCAGAATAGTTTTCCATTTGTCACATATTTAATGATATTTAAGTGGGCAGCCTATATTCTTATCAATAATTTTATAAGAGGGATCATTAATGGAGAGTTAATATCTGAAAGTCACTCCTCTTGGTAAGTGGAAGGGCATACATACAGGTTATAACAATCACTTTTTGAGCTGAAAATAGAACTTCTTGTAGAAAATAATAGGTGTCTGCTTACTTATTTGTCTTGAAGAAGAAGACCCAACAGGTTTTTGGGATCCCAACTCATCATATAGAAACTGAATTATCTAATTTAAGTAGCCTTGGAAAGGAGGAGATGACAAAAGGCACCAGGGATAGAAAAATAATTCAGGCATAAGTGTGTGTGCGATTGGGTACAAATATTACTAACTGGTGCTCACAGCATCAAATAGATAATGTGGAGAACGTACAAAAGGGTAAGCTTAGTTGAAAAGTAGACATCTGCATTGCTTTCCATGATTTTTCATCTACACTGTTACTGCTACTGGCCCAGGAGAAGCCCCCTTTAGAATAAAGGATGGTCCCCAGAAATCAACAACCCCCCCTCTCCTGTGAATGACAACAAACAAGCCAGGTGTCCTGGGTAACATCACTGATCAAATAACAACTATGGGCTTTTTTTCAAAGTATTTTGTCAATGGTGCCAGGTGCTAGTCTGTGTGCTCCAGACTTCAGTAGACAAAATACTTCCAATGGCAGCACATCCAGTAAAATCACCTTTATTTCTTCTTATAGCACATTCCACAAAACATGAAAGGGATACAAAACTCAAGCTAACGCGTTTCACGCTACATTAGTGTTTACTCATAGCTCATGCTATACTACATACCCCTTACTTAATCACATAGGTGGTTATTCTAAAGAGGGGTTCCAGATTCCAATCCCACAGTCACCCCATTCACCAATCCCCACATCCACCAGGCCAAGAAAGTGAGGATTAGGCCCTTGGCCCTATAAACATATTGACAAAGTCTCTTCTCCCTGGTGAAAATCAATTGTCAATCTCATCACCCAGGGATAAAGATCCATTGTCAATCAAGATTAATGACATTCTGAAAAATTATGCACAAATGGGATTGTGCCAGACAATCCTCCACCCCTGCTGATAGAGAATAGTAGGTGGTGGAAAGGTGTTTTTATGAAAGGACATGTAATGCCTAATTTGTGAAACACCTTGAACTGCCATGTTAAGTTGAAATTATCAAATGCGTTGATTATTAGAATTGCTTTATCATTGAGTGGATGTTATTTGGCAAACTCCAAGACCACTAAAATGTTTCTTATCACACAAATGCCTTTGGGTTATAAGTTGTGGGAACACAGACTCATTGTTCAACAATAATTTTGTAAAAATTCCTGTAGGACCTGGAAAGCCTAGTGTTTTTTGCTTTTTTGGCAGCAGCCTTACATAGGTCCCTGGCCTGTTGGGAAATAATGCAAAATGTTGCAGAGCATATTATAAAGGGAAAGAGTCAGATTCTCCTTCATCATCTTATACAATTTGACTGTGTAGCCATCTGGTCCTGGCACTTTGCCATTAGAGAAGTTTGTTATGATCTTAGTTGTAGTGGGGTAATGAGTGCATTTAAAACTTCAAGGTGTTTCTCTGGAAAAAGAAATAGAACCTAAAAAATGTCAGCTTCCTGTAAGCTTTTACAGTTATCAAATCTGGTAATAATTAACAAGGATTTTCACAAAAATTGCCAGGATTTTGTCAAATGAGTTGTCTAAATGTATAGATTTTCAAACCTCCATGTTGGGTTCAGAGTTGCCCATGCCTCTAAAGCCAGTGATTGTACTGTCTCTGTGTCTCCATACCTTTTGCCTTTGTTTTTAGAGGTGATTGTATTTTTAGCTAAGATTTAGCTTGTCTTATATTCTAAATCAGATTTTTATATTGTGTTGTTTTGTATTTTTTTGTGCATTGAGGGAGGAGATACATCTCCCTTCAATGTATGCTTTGTCTGTTTCCTATTATAGAGTAGGATTACCTTTATTATTATTATACAGTATTTATATAGCGCTAAAAGGTTTGCTCAGCGCTGTACATTATAGTGGGGGACAGTACATGAGACAATACAGTAACAAAACAGAACACAAGGGATTCAAGGGCCCTGCTCTTTCGAGCTTACAATCTAGGAGAAAGGGGATAGTGGTACAGGAGGAAGTGGCTGTGGGGGATGGAGTGGTGGAAGGAGAGGAGGAGATCGGCTGTTAGGTGAGGGCGGGGTTGGCTTCCCTGAAGAGATGGGTTTTCAGGGTGCGCCTAAAGATGAGGAGGGTAGGTGACAGTCTGATGGATTGGGGTAGTGAGTTCCAGAGGATGGGGGAAGTCCTGGAGAAGTCCTGCAGTCGGGCGTGGGAGGTGGAGACCAGGGAGCTAGAAAGTAGGAGGTCTTGTGAGGAGCGAAGATTACGGGTAGAGTGGTATTTGGGTATCAGGTCGGTGAGGTAGTTTGAGGCAGCATTATGAATGGCTTTGTACGTCAATGTTAGTAGTTTGAATTTAATGCATTGGGCAATCGGGAGCCAGTGGAGGGAATGACAGAGGGGGGTGGCAGAAGCGGAGC